TTGTGCCTCGGGCGAGGCCAGGTAGCGCAGCAGCGCCTTGGCCTGCGCCGGGTGTTCGGCGTTGACCGGGATGCCGGCGGCAAAGCGCGTTACCGATTGCACATCTTCCGGGATCTTGCCGACGTAAGTCACACCCGGCACCGGCAACAATTCCGCCACCTGTTGCAAGCCCACTTCGTAGTCACCCTTGGCAACCTGCTCGGCCACCGGAAGGCGTTCGATCATGGTGCCCTTGGCGGGCATGCCGAGCTTCTTGAACAGCTCTTTCTCGACATACACACCGCTGGCGCTGTCCGAATAGGCCACCGACTTGGCATTGCTCAGGACGGCCTTCAATTCGGCATCGGTGCCGATAGCCGGCTTGGCCGCGCCGGCCTTCACCACCAGGCCGATGCGCGAGTCTGCCAATTCCACGCGGGAGGCTGGGTCGACCTTGCCCTGCTTGATCAGCTCATCCAGGGCGTAGCCGACCATGATCACCACGTCGGCGTGTTCGCCACGGGCCAGGCGGTTGGGAATCGCTTCCGGCGCCTTGCCCATGGACGGGCCGAGGATGGTGTCGAGGCTGTCACCGCTTTGCTTGGCGTACTGCGGGCCGAGCAATTTATACGCGGCAGTGAAGCCGCCAGAGGTCATCACCTTGAGCTGTTCGGCCTGGGCCGTCAGCGCCAGGGCGCCGAGGGCCAGGGCCGTCAGGGTCTTGAACAGTGCCTTCATTGCGCTGCTCCCTGCATCACCTGCCCGCGAGCGTTGGCGCGGCGATACAAGGCGAGGGTCGAGCACAGCGCGCACAGTGCGGCGAACATCATCCAGTAGGCCGGCGACGCCTTGTCTTCGGTGATGTGAATAAACCAGGTCGAGATCGCCGGGGTGAAGCCGCCGAAGATCGCGGTCGCCAGGCTGTAGGCCAGGGAGAAGCCCGCCACGCGTACTTCCACCGGCATGATTTCGGTCAGGGCCGGGATCATCGCGCCGTTATACAGGCCGTAGAGGAAGGAGAACCACAGCAGGGTTTCCAGCATATGGGCGAAGCTTGGCGCGTTCACCACGTAGGACAGCGCTGGGTAAGCTGTGAGAACGGTCAGCACGGTCATGGCGATCAGTACCGGCTTGCGACCGAAACGGTCACTCAACGTACCGCCGATCGGCAGCCAGACAAAGTTCGACACCGCCACCAGCAAGGTCACCAGCAGGGCATCCGAGGTGCTCAGTTGCAGCACGGTCTTGCCAAAGGTCGGCGCGTACACGGTGATCAGGTAGAACGCGGTGGTGGTCATGGCCACCATCAGCATGCCGCCGATGACCACGGTCCAGTTCTTCACCAGGGTCGCCATCACTTCGCGCATGGTCGGGCGATGCTTGCGGTTGGCGAACTCTTCGGTTTCCTGCAGGTTGCGCCGCAGGATAAAGATGAACGGGATGATCACGCAGCCGATGGCAAACGGAATGCGCCAGCCCCAATCGGCTACCACGGCCGGTTCCATCCACACGTTCAGGCCATAACCCAGCGCGGCGGCGACCACGATGGAGATCTGTTGGCTGCCCGATTGCCAGCTGGTGTAGAAGCCTTTGCGGCCGGGGGTGGCCATTTCGGACAGGTACACCGACACACCGCCCAGTTCCGCGCCGGCCGAGAAGCCCTGCAACAGGCGGCCCAACAGCACCAGCAAAGGTGCCCAGAGGCCAATGGTGTGATAACCGGGCACCAGCACGATCAGCAGCGTGCCGCTGGCCATGATCGACAGGGTCACGATCAGCCCTTTGCGGCGACCGACGTCATCGATATAGGCACCCAGGATGATCGCGCCCAATGGACGCATCAGGAAGCCCGCGCCGAACACGGCGAAGGTCATCATTAATGACGCAAACTCATTAGCGGCAGGGAAGAACGCGGCAGCGATGTAGGTGGCATAAAAACCGAACAGGAAGAAGTCGAACTGTTCGAGGAAGTTGCCCGAAGTCACGCGGAATACCGCACCAACTTTCGAACGGGCAGAGTCGGGCCGGGTAGGGCTAGTCATGGTTTTGTGTCTCCAGCGTTCTTTTTAAAGTGCTTGTTTCGCTTAAGACTTGGAATAGTGGCTGACACATTTAGAAATGATAAGTGACAAATTTGGATGGATTGATGTTCATTGGCTATCAATCGGCTATAAGCCAAAACCGCATCGGCTGTTCTATGCTGAAGACGTGACCAATTCTTACGGATGGGAGGTGGCAATGGCTGACCAACACACACCGCAGGACGCACCGGAGCGCGAGCGACCCCGGCGGCAGGAGGAAGAAAAACCGCAGACCTGGAAGCATCCCGATGACGGGACGGAGCTGTCCGAGCGCGACCAGGAACGTCCGCTCAAGCCCTGACCTCAAGCTCAACACCACCCAACTGTGGGAGCGGGCTTGCCCGCGAATGCGGTGTGTCAGTCAACTAATGTGTCGGCTGATCCACCGCTTTCGCGGGCAAGCCCGCTCCCACAATTGTTGTGCGCGCGCATCAGTCTGGGAAACTATTTGACATATTTGATTTGTGATCACATATTGAGGCCATAAGAACGACAACACAGGTTTTGCCTCATGACAGATGGTCCGCTCCTCCTGCCCACCCTGCGCCAGGTGTCCCGCGATACCTTGCAAGACCAGGTCTATCGCCAGATCCGCGAAGCCCTGATGAGTGGCCGTTTCCAGCCCGGCCAGAAACTCACCATCCGCGGCCTCGCCGAAGCCCTCGGTTCCAGCCCCATGCCGGTGCGTGAAGCCCTGCAGCGCCTCAGCGCCGAAAACGCCTTTGAAGTCACCGAAACCTCGCGTCTGCGCGTCCGCTTGATGACGGTCGAACGCCTGCGGGAAATTCGCGATGCACGGGTCGCCCTCGAAGGGCTCCTGGCGGAAAAAGCCGTGTTGCTCCTGCAAAAGGCCGACCTCGATGAAATCACCGACCTGTGCCAGCAAATGCAGCACGCCGCCGACGAAGTCGACGTGTCCCGCTACTTGTGGACCAACTTTGCCTTTCACCGGCGCATCTACGCCGTGGCCCAGGCCGAGTTGACCATGGCCGCCGTGGAAAACTTCTGGCTGCACATGGGCCCGTGCTTCGCGCTGGTCGCCCCGGATAAAGCTCACCTGCAACGCTCGATGGAGGCGCACACGCGCATTGTCGAAGCCCTGGCTGCCCGTGATGGCGCTGGCGCACGCGCGGCGGTGACCGATGACATCATGCAGGCCGCCGATTCCCTGGCGCGCCTGCTCGTCAAGAACGACCGTGCGCGGTCGTCTGCTTCAGGAGGTAAACGTGCATGAGTGTCCTACAACGGCTGCAGCCCTATCCTGGGTTACGTGTGTTGATTTCCGGCGGGGCTGCCGGCATCGGTGAAGTGTTGGCGGCGGCGTATCTGGAAGCCGGTGCCCAGGTGCATGTGTGTGATGTGAGCGAGCCGGCCCTGGCCGCGTTCCGCGACAAATACCCAGGCACCGTCGCCACCCGTGCCGATGTCAGCGATGCCGCACAGATCGAAGCGGTGTTCCAGGTGCAGCGCGCGCATTTCGGCGGCCTCGATGTGTTGGTCAACAACGCCGGGATCGCCGGGCCCACTGGTGGCATCGATGCGATCAGCGACGCCGAGTGGCAAGCCACCATCAACATCAATCTCACCGCGCAGTACCGGTTTGCCCACCACGCGGTGCCGATGCTCAAGGAATCGTCCCACGGCCATCTGCTGCATATCGCCTCGGTGGCGGGGCGCTTGGGCTACGCGTGGCGCACGCCCTACGCGGCGACCAAATGGGCGATCGTCGGCTTGATGAAATCCCTGGCCTCGGAGCTGGGCGAGAGCGACATCCGCGTCAACGCCTTGCTGCCCGGCATCGTCGAAGGCCCGCGCATGGACGGCGTGATCCGTGCGCGTGCGGAGCAGGTCGGCGTGCCCGAAGCCGAGATGCGCCAGGAATACCTCAACAAGATTTCCCTCAAACGCATGGTCACCGCCGAAGACGTGGCAGCCATGGCGCTGTTCCTCTGTTCGCCCGCCGCACGCAACGTGACCGGCCAGGCGATCAGCGTCGACGGTAACGTCGAGTACCTGTAAGCCACGGAAGAACACATCGCGCTGCACCCAGGATTTTTTTCATAAGAATAAAAGTCGGAGATTCGTCATGTCCAAAAATCGTCCTGTCATCATCACCTGCGCCGTCACTGGTGCGATTCATACGCCGTCGATGTCACCGCATTTGCCGATCACCGCGCAGGAAATTGCCGACGCCGCCATCGGTGCCGCCGAGGCTGGCGCCGCGATTGTCCACCTGCATGCCCGCGATCCGATTGATGGCCGTCCCAGCCAGGACCCGGCGCTGTTCGCCGAATTCCTGCCGCACATCAAGGCCGCCAGCGACGTGGTGATCAACATCACCACCGGCGGCGCGCCGACCATGGGTGTGGAAGAACGCCTGCAGCCGGTGATGCAGTTCAAGCCAGAGTTGGCCTCGCTGAACATGGGCTCGATGAATTTCGGCCTGTACGAAATGCTCAACCGCTTTACCGAGTTCAAGCACGACTGGGAGCGGCCGTATTTGGAGGACAGTGACGACCGGATATTCCGCAACACCTTCCGCGACATCACTCACATCCTCAATTCCTGCGCCGAAAACCGCACCCGTTTCGAGATCGAGTGTTACGACATCGGCCACCTGTACACCGCCGCGCATTTCCTGGAGCGCGGCCTGCTCAAGCCGCCCTTGTTTATCCAGTCGGTGTTCGGCCTGCGCGGCGGTATCGGCGGCCACCCGGAAGACCTGGCGCACATGCGCCGCACCGCCGACCGCCTGTTTGGCGACGACTATGTGTGGTCGATCCTCGGCGCCGGGCGTGGGCAAATTCCGCTGGCGACCATGGGCCTTTCCATGGGCAGCAACGCCCGTGTCGGCCTGGAAGATTCGCTGTGGGACGGCCCGGGCAAGCTGGCGGCTTCGAATGCCGACCAGGTACGGCGCATTCGTACAGTGATCGAAGCCCTCGGCCACCGGGTCGCCACGCCGGATGAAGCGCGGGAAATCCTCGGCCTTAAGGGGCGCGACCAGGTCAACTTCTAACCCGACAAACCGCCGCGTCAAGGCGCGGCCTGCATCCCGCACAACAACAATAAGGGGATCACACCATGCGTATCGAAGTGCTCGTCGACGTCAAGACCACCCTGGGCGAAGGCCCGGTGTGGGACGTCGAGCAACAACGCTTGTATTGGATCGACAGCGCCGACGGCCGCATCTTGCGATGCACCGACGACGGTCGCGAGCTGCGAGCCTGGGAGGTGGGCCAGAAGATCGGCTCCATGGCCCTGCGCCGCGACGGTGAGTCGGCTATCGTCGCCCTGCAGAACGGCGTGCATACCCTCGACCTCAACAGCGGTGAGCTCAACCTGGTCATCGACCCGGAACCGCACCTGCCCGACAACCGCCTCAACGACGGCAAGGTCGACCGCCAAGGCCGCTTTATCTTCGGCTCCATGGACACCCAGGAAGACAACGCCAGTGCCAAACTCTACCGGCTTGATGCCGACCTGAGCCTGCACACCCTGGACGAAGGCATCATCGTGTCCAACGGCCCGTGCTGGAGCCCATCGGGTGAAACCTTCTACTTCTGCGACACCTGGTCCGGCGAGATCTGGGCCTACGACTACGACCTGGCCACCGGCAGTGTCAGCAATCGTCGCACCTTCGCCAAGGTCGACACCTCCGGCGGGGGCGCCGCCGATGGTTGCACCGTGGATGCCGAAGGCTGCCTGTGGCAGGCGCTGGTCTACGCCGGAAAACTGGTGCGCTACACCCCCGATGGGCACGTCGACCGCATCATCCAGATGCCGGTGAAAAAGGTCACCAGCCTGACCTTTGGCGGGCCGAACCTCGACACCCTGTTTGTGACCTCCATGGCCAAGCCGCCGCTGCCGCGTTTTCCGGCAGACGGCCAGCAGCGCGGAGCGCTGTTCGCCATTACCGGGTTGGGCGTGCAAGGAATAGCCGAGCGACGGTTCGCCAGCTAGCGCGTGTGTGTGACAAGGCATATTCCTTCGCAACCTTGTGTCAGTGCGCGCCCTCGCGCGCCTGGAGAGGCCCATGGCAACTATAAAAAAAGCGTCGCTGCGCAGCATTCACCGGCATTCCTGGGTGTCGCTGCTGGTCTGCTGGATGATCTGGATCCTCAACGCCTACGACCGTGAGATCGTGCTGCGCCTGGGGCCGACCATCTCCAAGCATTTCGATTTATCCGCCGACCAATGGGGCACCGTGGCCACGGTGGTCATGCTGGCCCTGGCGCTGCTGGATATTCCCGGGTCGATGTGGAGCGACCGCTACGGTGGCGGCTGGAAACGTGCGCGCTTCCAGGTGCCGCTGGTGCTGGGCTACACCGCGATTTCGTTCCTGTCCGGCTTCAAGGCGTTGAGCGGCAACCTCGCCACTTTTATTGCCCTGCGCGTCGGCGTCAACCTCGGCGCCGGCTGGGGTGAACCGGTGGGCGTGAGCAACACCGCCGAATGGTGGCCGGTGGAGCGTCGCGGCTTTGCCTTGGGCGCGCACCACACCGGCTACCCGATTGGGGCGATGCTCAGCGGTATCGTCGCGAGTTTCGTCATCACCGTGTTTGGTGAGGAGAACTGGCGCTACGTGTTCTTCTTCGCCTTCGTGGTGGCGTTGCCGCTGATGATCTTCTGGGCGCGTTACTCCACCGCCGAGCGCATCACTGCGCTGTACGTCGATATCGCCGCCAAAGGCATGACCCCGCCGGACAACGCCCCGGCCAGTTCGGTGAAAGGCGAAGCCTGGCGCACCTTTGTCGCCACGTTGCGCAACCGCAATATCGCCCTGACAGCGGGCAATACGATGCTCACCCAAGTGGTGTACATGGGCGTGAACATCGTGCTGCCGGCCTACCTCTACAACATCGCCGGGTTATCGCTGGCCGAGTCGGCGGGGATGAGCGTGGTGTTCACCCTCACCGGCATCCTCGGGCAACTGGTGTGGCCGTCGCTGTCGGACATCATCGGCCGGCGCACCACCCTGATCATCTGCGGGCTGTGGATGGCGGCGAGTGTTGGCGCGTTCTACTTCGCCAACACCCTGACGTTGATCATCGTCGTGCAACTGCTGTTCGGCCTGGTGGCGAATGCAGTGTGGCCGATCTACTACGCGGTGGCCTGCGACTCGGCAGAGTCGTCGGCGACCTCCACCGCCAACGGCATCATCACGACGGCAATGTTCATCGGCGGCGGCCTGGCGCCGGTGCTGATGGGCAGCATCATCGCCATGGGCGGCGGCTGGACCACGCTGCACGGCTACACCCTGTGCTTCTTCGTGATGGCCGGCTGCGCCCTGGGCGGCGCACTGCTGCAACTGTTTTCCCATCGCCCCCAGGCGCTGGTTGTGCAACTCGACTCCTAGAACAACACCGATGCGCCCCCCAGCTTGGCTGGCGGGGCGCCAAGAGGAATTGCCGATGACTACCGTCCCCCACGCCCGCGAGCCGCAGGCGTTGAACAAACTGATGTTCGTCAAGCTGATGCCCTTGCTGATCATCGCCTACATCCTGAGCTTCCTGGACCGCACCAACATCGCCCTGGCCAAGCATCACCTGGACGTCGACCTGGGCATTTCCGCCGCGGCGTACGGGCTGGGCGCGGGGCTGTTTTTCCTCACGTATGCGCTGTCGGAAATCCCCAGCAACCTGATCATGCACAAGGTCGGCGCCCGCTTCTGGATCGCGCGGATCATGGTGACCTGGGGCCTGATCTCGGCGGCCATGGCCTTTGTGCAGGGCGAGACCTCGTTCTACGTGCTGCGCCTGTTGCTGGGCATTGCCGAGGCCGGTCTGTTTCCGGGCGTGATGCTGTACCTGACCTACTGGTTCAACCGTGAACAACGGGCGCGCGCCACCGGCTATTTCCTGCTCGGCGTGTGCTTTGCCAACATCATCGGCGGCCCGGTTGGTGCGGCCTTGATGCGCATGGACGGCATGCTCGGCTGGCACGGCTGGCAGTGGATGTTCCTGCTCGAAGGCTTGCCGGCCGTGGCGTTTGCCTGGGTGGTATGGCGCAAATTGCCGGACCGTCCGAGCAAGGCGCCGTGGTTGTCGGCCGAGGAAGCGCGCGGGATCGAACAGCGCATTGCGCTGGAAACCGAAGAGGGCGCAGGCGAGGGGGGCCACTCGTTGAAAAACTGGCTGACCCCGCAAATCCTGCTGGCGATCTTTGTGTACTTTTGCCATCAGATCACCATCTACACCGTGATCTTTTTCCTGCCGAGCATCATCAGCAAGTACGGCGAATTGAGCACCATGAGTGTTGGCCTGCTGACCTCCTTGCCTTGGATCGCGGCGGCCCTCGGCGCAGTACTGATCCCGCGTTTTGCCACGACGCCGGGTCGCTGTCGGCGGTTGTTGGTCAGCGGGCTGCTGACCATGGCGCTGGGGTTGGCCATCGCATCGATGTCGGGGCCGGTGTTCAGCCTGCTGGGCTTTTGCCTGTCGGCGGTGATGTTCTTTGTGGTGCAGTCGATCATCTTTCTGTACCCGGCTTCACGCCTCAAGGGCGTGGCACTGGCGGGCGGCTTGGGCTTCGTCAACGCCTGCGGGTTGTTGGGCGGGTTTGTCGGGCCGTCGGTGATGGGCGCGATCGAGATGAGCACCGGCAATGCGATGAACGGCTTGAAAGTCATCGCGCTGGTATTGGTGGTAGCGGCGCTGGCGGCCTTGCGTCTGCGCCAGGGCCAGGAGGAGGCTCAGACCAGTAACGAGGTGGGAAACCCTGAAGCCAGCACCAGGTAGGCCACGACAGCCGCCAGGCATAAGCCGACGAATACGCGCAGTAATGTCCTGGCGGTGGGATGGGCAATGAACTTGATGGCCCAGAGCAGACACCCGCCGAGCAGGAGGCTCAGGGCAAGAATGACCAGCACGTTGGTGTTCCTGCGACCTTAGAGAGCTGATTTATAGTCGCAAAGCCGCTGGATGAACAGTGCGCACATAGACGCAGGCCCCCGCGCTTTCTAAACTGCGGCTTGTCTTGGGGAAAGGGGCAGGCGCCGA